AAACGATGCTAAAATTTTTCGAGCACTTTTCTCGCATCTCAATTTATACGTCCATAAAGTTTTTTCCAATTTTTAGATACATCCATTATCTGTAGAACCTCCTTAATACATGAAGAAACATGTAAAAAGAACTTTAGTCAAATGTGTCATTTTTAGACGTTTATGCGTGTAAAAATAACCCACTTGGATTAGCAGTGTAGGGTGTACAGTGTAGGGTGCTTACAGATTATAACTTTTTATAGAAAAATCAGTGTGCTATTCTCTCTCTCTGTATTTAGTTCGTGAATTGTTCTGTTGCTTATTCTGAATATTCTTTTATGGATTTTGCATGTAACACTCTGCAATGATAAGAGGTCCTTTAATTTTTCGACTACTATATTCCTCCTTTATTTCTCTTCTTATCTTACGACGGCTCTTCTTATCTTTTTCTGTCTTTTTTTCATTTTTCTTTCCACTTGGCTTTCCTTTTTCCGACTATTCTGCGAATTAGTCACTACTCTTTTAAATTGCGCGTCTCCATCTACCTCCATTTATCCGTTCTATAATCTTATCTTACCTCATCTTTCTTTGGTGTCACGGTAAAACATCGCGGCATAAAAGGTAACGGGAGATCCTTCCCTTACTTATTATTATACGACCGCAATAAGCTCTTCCGAATCCGATTTGCGGCTCTACGGGATTATTAAGCGGCAGAGTTGTCGGGACGCAAATCAATTTTGCGCCTCTCAAAGATTAATCGCGCGCTACTTTGCAGCTCCCCGGTAAATCAGTTAAACCTGTAAAAATCTTCTTTGATCCAGAGACGCATCTACGTGCAATTGAGAACATTTTTCAATAATGATCTCAATAATGTCAAATCGCGGATTTCCATCTGATTTACGAATGCAACATGTCTCCAAATATTATTGTTCCATTTCAACTTAATCCATTTATTTATTGACGGTTATCCGTCGATGTTCCGCGTCCATCATGTCGTCGAGGGATAAAGCGAGCGTTATGGATTTCGCAAACATCGCGCGAAACCGCGACATCGAACGGGAATTGAAACGCATCGCGATCGCGATCGGGATACGAGAGCACGGATGGTGCGAAGACAATAGCTTCAGGGGAAATGAATCGAGGGAGACGTGACGGAAGGAGAGAGAGAGAGGATAGAACGTGGCGGGGAGACGCGAATGCACATCCCCGTCGAGGAGTCACGTACTTTATAAAACGCAGCCGTTACACCGGTGTCGGAGACGGGAAAACGGGAAACGTTCGCGTGCACATTGGTGCAAAGAAGGGGACAGAGTGGCCGGAACATATGCTTCCCTTCGCAATATAACAGGGGGAGGGATCCTCCGACCGATAAACCCCCGCAGAAATGAGCTTTTTTTCGTCCATTTCTCTTTCCGCGCGACCGCCATCGCTCCTCTGCAATTTTCGATCTGTCTCCTTTTCTCTTTCTCTCTCCTTTATATCTCTTTACGTGAAAGTCGATTTTTCTGTTCTAACTTGTAACGTGGTGACAAATGACCTCTCCAATAGACAGTGTAGATAGATGAGGCAAAATCTGAAATGACTGAAGCACCCTGAAAGATCAAAGAGAACACTACGCGCGTATTCTCTTTTCTTCAAAACGCGCGACAGTACATATTTTGTTCATATTTTATATATGTATGTATATTCCGCATAAATGAACAATGGAAGTAATTAAATACTTCATTTGCAACAGTTAATTGCAAAAAAAATTTTATCCTCCAGCTATATTATTCCTCTACGTCTTCCTTTTTAACTTTCAATGTCACAATGTTACTTATTAAAAACATTCAGAGGCGCATCTCGAGTTTTATACCGGTGGTTTATTTTACCAATAATTTTTGTTGTAAAAATATACTTTCGTTATAAGAAGTTTACGACGGAAATAATTTGACGAGACACACAGCCTCATCTATTCTTAAGTCGCGATCTAATGGCCTCGACTATTACAAGACTGACTCTCCGTCTCGCGTACGACGGTAAATCCGACGGAGCCCGTTCGTTCAGCTGTGCGACTCGAAAAACGGATTTCATTTCGTTCCGAATCGACCTGTCGCGCGGAGTCGGTGCGACCTGTGGAGCCTTATAGACACGGGCGCGTTGGCGGTTATATTTTAACGAGGACGTCACGTATAGCCGCGACTGAGAGACACGAAGGGATGCCGCGCTCGGCGTTCCGCCCAGAATTTCCCTCCCACCTGCTTTTCTCTCGGCTGCCAGTCACGCGAAATCTTCGTTCTCCGTTCGTGTGTATATCTTCCGGCGAGATCACTGCCGCTTTTATATTCAACGTTACTTTAGCGTTACGCGAGCGCCAGCTCTCTTTCTCTCTCTCTCTCTCTCTGTTTCTCTAAATAGAGAATAAACGGCTTTTTCGCGTTGTCGCTCCAACAGCACGCCAATATCTTAAATCGTAACTTCTTAACACGCTTGACAACCTACGTCATATAAAAGGATTTCTTGATTGTGAAGCGCGATTGCGAACTCGGATCTCGACTGCGTTTCACTTTTTCTTAAATATAGAATAACTACATTATTCTCTTTTTTTTCCACTAAACTAAAATTTGAGTTAAATAATAAGGGAAAAGGGGAAGTAGATTGCGACAAAATTATCACAAGAAAAAAATTATAAGAGAACGAAGTGAAAATTCTTGATGTTGAAATTTACATATGTATAATACGACTTCTAATTATTTTATTTTATTTCGTATAGAGAAACGCATCTCTCGCTATTCACCGTTGCTTTTGCAGGCGAGGACTTTAGCTTTTATACACAGTGTTATTTTTCTGTTATATGAGCGCACATAAGGAGTGACACACTGCGGTGTTTACGAGCGCCCGTTTGGAAGTACAAAATACAAAATATACATGGAGCCCTCAAAATTTGCGAGTGACGTTCTTACGTAAACTCGTACCGGATAGTGATAAGAATGCGCATGTGTGTGTGTGTGTGTGTGTGTGTGTGTGTGTGTGAGACGAATTTGAAATAAAAGATTTATCGCGCTGCTGAAATCTCACGGTGAAGGAGTTTACGTAATGTAAACACGAAACAGTTGACGTTTCTCGTTGCATATGAAGTAAGATTAGCTATTTACGTAACATGAAATTGTGTGTGTGTGTGTGTGTGTGTGTGTGTGTGCGCTCCGCGAAATTTATTTGCAAACTCTTGTAAGACTAAAAATAATCTTAAAAGACAGTTCAGATTAGCATATTGATCAAAAATCCATCTCGTATTAATGTCTATTCAAGTTAGAAGCCGACTATAATCTCTGTCTGTTACATTAATGTTTACTTGAAATAATCATTTGACTAGCACAGGGAGAAACTTCCGGTTTAATCAGGTCAATCATTTTCGCGTTTGCTATATTTGCAGATACACGATTCATGAGATCGGAATATCAAAAAGGATATAAGAGAAATATCGCGGGTTTTTCCTTTTCATCTCTCTCCACCTTTGGACTTTAAAACCGTGACAGATATTTCGACGACATATGAATTTTCTTTGCTCGAGACATTTCCACTCATTGCAATACTTTTTCATTGGCAATACAAAGAAATAATTTATGCAACAAGGCAACAATGTATAAGAACCGTTTACTTTACCGTTGAACGACAGAAATAGAGAAAGATGTTTTATCTCGAATACAATTCGCGAAAACGCGATAAGAAAAAATAATGAGTGATTTTTTTATATTTGTGTGGCATATAGTTTATCAGTTTTTCAATAATTTATTGAGAAAAATAATTTTAGTCTTATGTTTCTCGAATTTTATATCTAACGTTAAATTTGTAAGTCATTAATTTAAAATACTAATTACATTAATCATATTATACTAATTACATTTATCATATTTAGTTTGTACAAAACCAGATCGATAAAAAAAGCTTTTAAAAATTACGGCATCAAACGTGGCGGAACTTAATTAATTAATCAACACTTTAATCAATAATGTATATCAATAATATTTAATCAATAATATTAGCAGAAACTTTGTACAATTTATTTACAATGAGACAGACATATAATGATGTTATTAAATGTCATTATTCAAATTTAAAATTCTAATTGTTTAAATATGATTTGAAATGTACAGTGTACAACATGCAACATACTATATTTTACAATTATAATTTTAGGTGGTTTTATATAAGAGATTCAATTAGTACTCTAATAAAATAAACGAATATTACTGTCATAAAATTTCAACACTTTGTTCATTATTAAAAATTATTTGCTTTTATATGCAAAGATATTTTTATTAATAACTTCATCTGCTTTCATTTTTCATGCTCCAGGATATATTATACGTTAGATAATATTTATTTAAAAAACAAACATATTTTTCGTACATTTTGTATTTAGTTTGAAACATTCACATGCAAATATTTCTAAATAGAAACGCGAAATTTGAAAAAAGATACATATTTTTCACATAATGTTTATCTGCAACGTAAATTTTTTTTATTTTTGTAAAACAATTTTAAATATTCTATTCTTTTAATTTTCCTGTGTTCAATAAAGGAATATAATTTTATATACTTTTACATCTTAATGTGCACAGTGCATACATATATTTAAAAAAAAATGATACATTATAGAGAGTAATCAGTATATATATTTTTTATTTGTCTCTGTTTGTTAAATTCAAACGAAATAAAGACAAAAAAAAAAGAAAAGGGAAGACGTCGTTTGCCATCGTCGATTCCGTTATCGCTTCTTGATCAGACTATTAATTATTTTCAAGAAAAACAATGAAATTAATTAAAAGTTACAAAAGAAGAAACAGTTATTTGTCGCGAAAAAAATGAGTAACAAATCTACGTTGGTCAATTACCCTTTGTGATTGATTAGAAAATATTTTAAAACAGTCTAAATGTAGTAATAAACGTGACAGATAAGCAAACAAGTTTTTAAAATCAATTTTGTAATATTAACAAAAGTAACTATCTAATTTCTCTTTTCACACGAGAGAGAATATGCATAAACTCGAATGTAAACATATATCTATGTGTTTCTATATACTTTCTGATTCTTATATTTTATAGAAACAAAAACAATTTATTATTTCACATCAGTATTTCTTATTAAAATAAGGATGAATCCGTCAAACCATTGACTGAAGATTATCTCAAGAGAGATCGAAGCCGATTTTGAAATTGCAACCAAGTATAAGTATAATTATTTTCGTACATGTTTACTAACTATGTATAACAATTAATATCTAATATTACCTATTATGTGTCTGTTCTTACTATAGATAACATTTCCTTCAACACATTCCTTTATCATATAAAAATTGTCTTTGAATATATTATAAAATTGTATATAATGTTAGACAAAAATTCGTTACATATATCTGAAATGATACAAATGTGAATTAAATATATGCATCCCATTTTCAGATTAAATATTTCATATAATATATATTTGAGACAAATCGCAAAAAGAATATATTTAATATTTAAAAACATTTTATTGTTTGATTATATACCTTTTATTAATTAGTTTATTCACGTAATATTGTTTGTAGACTTTCCATTGCAGGAATTCGACATCAATAGAAACTGCATTAAAATTAATAGGTAGGTAGTAATGTTACCAACAATCTACTAAAAACAAAATTAGAGTGTATAAAAGCAACATTTATTTAATTAATAAAAACAAATAATCAATTACTCACTGCAGCGAGAAGTGTCGCGTCCACATTAAGACCCTTTGCTGAAAAAATATTTTTGCGTTGCAATATTTGCAAAGAGAACAGCTGCAACTGCAACGTTAGAGCACCACAGAGTTAAATATAAAATCAAGTAATTATGACTCTAATAGATTCAATATACAAATAAATCACAATTAATATTAAAAAATTTTTCATAAAAATGTTCAAATTTAATTACATTACAATATATTACCTCGTTTTTTACATCTTCATCGCTAATACTGTTAAACACGACGTGAACAGTCGTGCCGATTTCAAGAGCTTGATTCTTACCAGTCTCACAGGCCCAAATAATCGAAGACATTTTTAAAGACTGATATATTATGAGCGCTAAGAAATATGAGTACCAAAGATCTTCTTGTAACTCATTTGTGAATCCTGGCCACTTTGATGCATAAAAATACAGGCTGAAAGTAATATCGCAGAAATTTATAGCTATGAAAGCGAGAAGCTGTAAGCTGAAGACTAAGTTCAACATCTGCACTGTATCGCTGATCATCAGATGCTGCTTTTTTAGAGCTTTGAGTTCCATCAATAGGAACAGATTTCTCTGCTTGTGATAGATCCGATTGAATAGATGCGGCGCATTCTTAACCACGGGTTCCCGAAGATTCGCAAGATCGTCATTGATTCTCTTAAAACAAGCTTTTAATATACAAACACAATTGAAGTATAGCATATTCATCTGAAATTCCACTAAACTAATGTATATTGTGAACAACTTCAGTGTAAGACTGATATTCAGCTTGTCAAAACATAGTACCGTTATTACGATGAGCAAAAAGAAACTGATAATGTCTTTCGTGTAGATCAGTCTAGATAATTTTCTATACGTTTTCGAAGGCAGTTTTGAAGAGACATCCATTATGGCCTGAAGCAAGCGCATCCGTGGACCACTCAAGATGTATGTGACGATCGTTATGAAACTAGTAAATATATAGTAGCAGGTACCACTAGAAATCCACGATAAATTTCCAAAAGTAACCTTTTCAGAAATGATAATATCATAAAGCAGTATGAATGAGTAAACGCTGGTAACACAAATAACAACGGTTGATAACATGCAGCGGGGTTTAGAAATCTTGAAAGTCAATGCGTTGATCTTGTACGGGAATATTCCAAGAATGTAGCAAAAGATGAAGCAGGGATACATCAGAGATTGAAAGTCTGTGACTTGAAGAACCCGCCATTTATGCAATATTTTTCCATGAAATTTTGTTGATAAATTGTACATGATGAGCGGAATGTCATGAGAACATAAATATCTCAGTCGTAGATTAAAAAGTAAAAACTGTTAATTATGTCAATGCACTATAACGTTAATATGATTGCGATAACTTCATGATTACACTTCTTTTCCAAGTGTAATCTTTAACTCTGGTTTTTGTCGTTGAATACGCGAACTAGATTGGTCGTCTTGTTTACACTCAGTGAATTTAAGTTCAAAACTGCGAACAGTTTCTACCTCGAATGAGACAAGACTAAAGGGAAATTTTGTTAGGCGTTAAGTAACCATGGTGCTCTTCGATCGACAACTGTACCCTTGGGTTATAATCGTGTAAAATAATGATGTGTAAGTGTTGTGACCTATTAAATTAAGTATGCAAACATGAAGCAGATAATATCGACATAATACACACGTGGACGAGTAATTCTCCAAAATAATTACTCTATTCTTCGACTTTTTGTTTAATTTAAAATTCACATTCTTATTGCGTGTGTAGAGAATATTTGATATCTTTATGACACGATTTTTAATCTATATTTTATTTCCTTTGTACATTCTAATTTATATAGATATCAAATTAAATACTTAATCTGCTTTGAGCATAGTTACATTTCTAATTTCAATAAAACATAATGACAAGTATAAAAAGCATTTTATAAATAAAAATATGAAAAGCATTTAATTTTATTAAAACATGTATTATGTATATTCACAAAAATCAGAAAGCAGCAGAAAGTAAGTGGTAGGGTTAATGATCGTAGCGAATCTGAGAAAAGATCTTTTCGTCCCGTACAGAAAAATGCTACAGAAAGACTGTAGTTGTAAAAAAATACATGCAACTATAGTAAATATTACAGTAATTGCTATAGGTTCCGGTCTTTAGGTGCTTTTGTCGCAACAGTAGCTTTTTCTATAAGGGAAGAGTTCTACACATACATTAAATACGTAAAATGCAATTAATTAGTCGTTTTATCAAGTAGCATTATTTTTTGTCAGTTATATTATAAAAAATTAAATCAAATACATTATATTGATAAAAAATTCTTTATTTTATTTGAAGTAAAAATTTGTCTTTTTGTTCTTGACTTTATATCAGCACGATATATTTCTACTTTAACTTTCCATTTACCTATATATGAATCTAATGGAAGATAGTGAAATATCTTGATAATGTTCGTTAGTTTTGTATATGTTCTAGATGCGCACGATTATGAATTATGTGATACAAAAACTAAGGATAATGAACTTATACATGCTCTGGAGTTGATAAGCAAAAAGTCATAGTTACACATACACACACACACACATTATGACTTAAGAATTCCTGAGAGAAGTCCCGTTTTGCTACACCGCTACACGAAGCAATAATTGTCAGTAGTTTAAAAATTAAACTCGTACGGTGTAGGTAGACTACGAAAAGTTCACGTCGGTTTATGCAATCGCCGTGGAAACAGCAATAAAATTGCAGTTGGGAGAGAAATTCTTGTAAACACGTTGATGCCATAATGCATTGACAACATAATTAATATTTCATGGATTATAGTCTATGAAATAGATTATTGTTCTCTCATAACTTTGGCAAACATGTTCAATTCGTCATCGATGTTCCAAGGACGAAAAGATAAAAGAAAAGGAAAAACATGTCAGCTATTCCGTGCTACGGATTTTGTGTCGTTGATGTATCCTTGCTTCTGGTTTTGTCGCATTCTGGGAATATTTCCATACAAGATCAACGCTCCGACCATCAAGACTTGCAAATCACGCCACATTCTATCCATCATCATTATCTGCATCTTTTGCACTCTCGAATTAAAAATTCTCTATGACATCAATATTTCGAAAGATGTTGCATTTAAAAGCGCAACACCCAGGATTATTGAACGCAATTTCTTTTACATTATCGGTGGTTTCACAGTAGTCACCGCATTCATTTTGAGTGGACCACGAATACGTTTTCTTCAGACCATACTGGAGCTCTCTTTGAAATTACCCTTGAAATCATATGAAAATTTATCTAGACTTATCCATACCAAGGACATTCTTGGATTTCTTTTTGTAATTGTGGATTTACCGATGTATTCTATCATAATACAAGTGGATTACTTGCGCCTACTTCTTCTACTATATATCTTCTTACTAGGATTTATAATGGATATGCTATATATGAATTGTGTTTGCATATTAAAAGCTTGCTTCAAACAAATCAACGATAATCTGATGAATCTACGAGAACTCGTGACAAATGGTAAGCCATATGTCTTGAGCGATACCTGTCACGAGGAGAGAAATCCATTCCTACTGATGGAAATCATAGCTTTGAAGAAGCAGCACCTGGCAATCAGCGACGCAGTACAGATGCTAAAAATGGTTTTTAGTTTACAAATTCTTTCTACGACAGTTATGACTTTCACTCAAGTCACCTTCAATCTGTACTTTTACTTAATGCAAATAAATGCGGATGCGTCTATGAGCAATCAGGAACGACAGTTTTATTACCTGTATTTTATTACAATTGCAATATATTACCTTATAAAAATAGTGTTGATAGTATGGGCTTGCGAGACCGGCAAGACTCAAGCCGTAGAGATCAGGAGTACCGTTCATGACGTGTTCAACAGCATCAGCAATAAGCAAATAAAATACGAGGTAGATTTAAACAATTTACAACATCAGTGGCATATTTTATATATTTTTCTAATTATGTCCCGCGTATACTAATGCGATTTTTACTACAGCAATTTACAAAATTCATAATTGCACCTGTTAATATTTAACAATTTTCTGATTGGACGTTGCAGATGCAGCTATTTTCTTTGCAATTATCGCATTGCGAAAATACATTCTCCGCAAAAGGGCTTAATGTGGACGCTACGCTCCTCACTAAGGTAAGTGATGAATCATTTGCTTTCACTAAATAAATGTAAGTAGATATGTTAGCTTCATTTTATAATATTGTTTCTTTTTTAGATAATAGGTGGCATTACCACGTATATATTAATCTTGATACAACTCCTGTTTATGTCGAGTTCTTGCGGTGGAAAATCTGTATAACATATGGTTTAACAGAGAAATGCATTGAAAAGATACTTTAAATGTACCTATTTTTATTATTGTAAGTAGAATATCGTTGCGAGCGGAGTATATCATGGTGCTTTATGCTTATAGAGATATTTTCATACATCAACGACCTAGAAGAATACAGTCACAAACTCAAATATTTACAATTTTCATTGATGTTATATTGATGGCGATATTAATACGATAATACGATAATTATGTGATAAATGTAATCTTGTAAATTTGAAATTGTATCTCAACACTGCGTTGCAAACTGAAAGACGTGTAATTTTTAAACATTTTTTCCGTTGTCATTCATTATACAGTGCCTTTTTTCTTATGTTTAACAAGTATCCCACAAAATTGTACTTTTTTATTCGTTTATTATTTACAAATCATAAAGTTTCTCTCATTTCTGAGACTTCTGTGTGAGTAGTATATATATATATACATATAACATATATATAATTTTCTTGAATCAAGAGAATTGCAACTTTAACGTTTGCTAGCTTATATATGTAAAAAACAGTAAATAAATTTATGTTGGAAATGTTTGATTTAATTAGGCAATAATAAAATAAGTTAGAAATGTATGTAGAAATTTCTACTTTATAATAAATCAACATTATACTTTCACAATAATAATAAAAATATATTATCTGCATCTTCTTTGTTTCATCTAATTAAAAAGTGATTTATCTGCGACAGTCTCAAAAATAATGTTTATTCAATGCGGATACGTACGGTTTATGGACAGATTGCGATTTATCGTAATATTCTGATTTATAACTGAATAGAGGAGAAATAAGCATAAATGATTACGTGAAATACATTGTTAGTATTATTTACAGTTATTGTTAAAGAATTTAAGTTCAAAACTACGAATAATTGCTACCTTCAAGCGAGACGAGGCTAAAGGAATATTTTGTTATGCGTCAAGTAATGATGGTGCTTTTCGATGGACAACTGTAGTCTCAAAAGCCAATGTGTAAACTAATAATGTGCAATTGCTGCGACCCATCAAATTAAGTATGCAAACATAAAACAGATAATATCGACTGCACGTGGATGAATAAATTCGCTAAGATATGACAGTTTCCTCCTCTTCGACTTTTTGCTTCAAAAATGTATATCTTATTGTATGTATAGAATATTTGATATTTTTATGAGACAATGTTGAAATCAATATTTTGTGTTTTACCTCCATTCTAATTTTCATTGTACCAATATCGACAGTTCTTAATAATTTAATTTGCCTTAAGCATAATTACATATCTAATTTCAATAAAAGATAATGGAAAAGAAATACATAAAAAAGTTTTAATTTAATTAATTAAAACATTATATAGTATGTATATTCACAAAATATCAAAAAAGAGTAAAAAGTAGGTACATTGCTAATAATCATAGCAACTCGGAAAAAATCTTACTCTGAGTCCAACAGCAACATTTATGTAAAGTAAAAATTTGCCTTTTTTTCTTGAATTTATATCGGCACGAGATATATCCGCTGTAACGTTTTATTTACCTATATATATGAACATAATGGAAAATTGTGAAATATCTTGATAATGTTCATTCGTTTTGTACAAGTTCTAGATGCGCAAGATTATGTGACACAGCAATTACACATCATTAACTTATGCGTGCTTCGGAGATGATAAGCAAAAAGTCGTAGTTACATTATGACATAAAAAATTCCTAAGTTCTGTTTTGCAACATGACACAATAATTGTTAGTTAGCTTTAAAATTAAACTCGTCAGGTGCAGATAGACTGGGAAAAATTTATTTCAGTTTATTTATTAGTTGTAGGAATACAGCAAAACGTTATACACTTAGAAAAGAAATTCTTGGAAACACGTTGATGTAAAAGTGCACTGATAACATAATTAATATTTCTTATATAGATTATAGTCTATGATTTAGATTATCGTTGTTCAATAACGATTCAGTGAACATGTTCAACACGTCATCGATGTTCCAAGGATTGAAAGGAAAAAGAAAAGAAAAAATATGGCAGCTATTCCGCGCTACAGATTTTGAATCGTTCATGTATCCCTGCTTCATGTTTTGCCGCATTCTGGGAATATTTCCATACAAGATCAACGCTTCGACCATCAAGACTTGCAAACCACGCTATATTCTTTCGACTATCATTATCGGCGTTTTATGCATCCTCGAATTAATGAATCTCTATTATCTCAATACTTCTGAAGTAGTAATTAAAAACGTTGAGACAACCAAGATACTTCAACATAACTGTTTCTCTATTATTGGTGTTTTTATAGCAGTCACCGCATTCATTCTGAGTGGACCACGAATGCGTTTTCTTCAGACCTTATTGGAGCTCTCGTTGAAATTGCCTTCAGAATCATATAAGAAATTATCTAGTTTGATCCATGCCAAGGACATTCTAGGATTCTTCTTTTTAGTCGTGACATTTCTGATACCGCTTATCAAGTTCCACGTGTGGGATATTGTCACCCATTTTCTTATGATGTACATGATATTGGTGACGTTTCAAATGGATATGCTATATATCAATTGTGTTTGCATATTAAAAGCTTGTTTCAAAAAAATCAACGACAATCTAATAAATCTGCGAAAAGTCGTGACAAATGGTGTGCCATATCTCTTGAGCAGCACCTATCACGAGCAAAGAATTCCATTTGTACTGATTGAGATTATAGCTTTGAAAAAGCAGCATCTGGCAATCAGCGGCGCTGTACAGACGCTAAAAATGGTCTTCAGCTTGCACATTCTTTCTACGATACTTATGGCTTTCGCTGAAATTATCTTCTATCTGTATTTTTACTCAATGCGAATACACCTAGGTTTATATATGAGCAATGAAGATAGACAGATTGTGTTTACGGCCTGTATTATGGGAATAACATATTACTCTATAAAATTGGTGTTGATAGTGTGGGCCTGCGAAACCGGCAAGGATCAAGCCATGGAAATTATCGGCACCGTTCACGACGTGTTCAATAGTGCCAGCAATAAGCAAATAAAATACGAGGTAGATCTTTAAAAAATTATAACCTTATATATAGTGGCATGTTTTATATATCTTTTTAATTATATGCCGGCATATGCCAATTCAATATTTAATATTGTAATTTACTAGATTTATAATTACATCTTTCAATTCTATATTTAACAATTCTTTGATCTGACGTTGCAGATGCGACTTTTTTCCTTGCAATTATCGCATTGTGAAAATACATTCTCCGCAAAGGGGCTTACTGTGGACGCTACGCTCCTCACTGCGGTGAGCGATCACTCATTTGCTTCCATTAATTAATGTGGGTATATTTAGCTTTATTTTATGAAATTGTTCTTTTAGATAATAGGTGGCATTACCACTTATGTATTGATCTTGATACAATTCCTGTTTATGTCGAGTTCTTGCGGTGGAAAATCTGTATAACATGTGGTCTAACAGAGAGATGCATTGAAAGGATACTTTAAATGTACCTATTTTTATTATTGTAAGTAGAATATCGTTGCGAGCGGAGTATATCATGGTGCTTTATGCTTACAGAGAAACATCAACGACCTAGAAGAATACAGACACAAACTCAAATATTTACAATTTTCATTGATGTTATATTGATAGCGATATTAATACGATAATACGATAATTATGTGATAAATGTAATATTGGGAATTTGAAATTATATCTCAACACTGCGTTGCAAACTGAAAGACGTGTAATTTTTAAACATTTTTTCTGTTGTCATTCATTATACAGTGCCTTTTTTCTCGTGTTTAACAAGTATCCCACAAAATTGTATCTTTTTATTACTTTATTATTTATGAATCATAAAGTTTCTCTCATTTCTGAGACTTCTGTGTGTGCAGTGAATATATATATATATATATATATATATATATATACATATATAATTTTCTTGAATCAGGAGAATTGCAACGCTTTAACGTTTGCTAGCTTATATATATAGAAAACAGTAAATAAATTTATGTTGGAGATGTTTGATTTAATTAGGCAATAATAAAATAAGTTAGAAATGTATGTAGAAATTTCTACTTTATGATGAGAGAGAATCAACATTATACTTTCACAATAATAATAGAAATATTATATCTGCATCTTGTTTGTTCCATCTAATTAAAAAGTGATTTATCTGCGACAGCCGTCTCAAAAATAATGTTTATTCAATGCGGATACATACGGTTTATAGACAGATTGCGATTTATCGTAATATTCTGATTTATAACTAAATAGAAAAAAAATAAACATAAATAATTACGTGAAATTGTTAGTATTATTTACAGTCATTGTTAAGGAATTTAAGTTCAAAACTACGGACAGTTGCTACCTTCGAGCGAGACGAGGCTAAAGGAATATTTTGTTATGCGTCAAGTAATGATGGTGCTTTTCGATGGATAACTGTACTCTCCAGAGCCAATGTAGAATAATATGTATAGAATAGTATGTAGAATAATGATGTGTAATTGTTGCGACCCATCAAATTAAGTATGCAAACATGAAACAGATAATATCGACTGCACGTGGATGAATAATTCTCTAAAATATGGCAGTTTCCTCCTCTTCGACTTTTTGCTTCAAACATTTATAGGATCTTATTGTATGTATAAAATATTTGATATTTTTAGATACAATATTTTTAGATACAGATTTGAGACAATGTTGAAATCAATATTTTGTGTTTCACCTTCATTCTAATTTTCATTATACCAATATTGACAGTTCTTAAATTAATAATTTAATCTGCCTTAAGCATAATTACATATCTAATTTCAATAAAAGATAATGAAAAAGAAATACATAAAAAAGCTTTAATTTAATTAATTGAAATATTATATAGCATGTATATTCACAAAATATTAGAAAAAAGTAAAAAGTAGGTACATTGCTAATAATCATAGCAACTCGGAAAAAATCTTACCCTGAGTCCAACAGCAACATTTATGTGAAGTAAAAGTTTGCCTTTTTGTTCTTGAATTTATATCAGCACGAGATATATCCGCTATAACTTTCTATTTAATATATATGAATATAATGGAAAATTGTGAAATATCTTGATAATGTTCATACGTTTTGTACTAGTTATAGATGCGAAAGATTATGAATTATGTGACACAGCAATTATACATCATTAACTTATGCGTGCTTCGGAGATGATAAGCAAAAAGTCGTAATTACATTATGACATAAAAAATTCCTAAGTTCTGTTTTGCAACATGACACAATAATTGTTAGTTAAAATTAAACTCGTCAGGTGCGGATAGATTGGGAGAAATTTATTTCAGTTTATTTATTAGTTGTAGGAATGCAGCAGAAAGTTATACACTTAGAAAATAAATTCTTGTAAACAGATTGATATAAGAGTGCATTGATAACATAATTAATGTTTCTTATATAGATTATAGTCTATGATTTAGATTATCGTTGTTCAATAACGATTCAGTGAACATGTTCAACATGTCATCGATGTTCCAAGGACTCAAAGGAAAAAGAAAAGGAAAAATATGGCAGCTATTCCGCGCTACGGATTTAGAATCGTTGATGTATCCCTGCTTCATGTTTTGCCGCATTCTGGGAATATTTCCATACAAGATCAACGCTTCGACCATCAAGACTTGCAAACCACGCTATATTCTTTCAACTATCATTATCGGTGTTTTTTGCATCTTTGAATTACTAAATCTCTATGATCTCAATATTTCTAAAAATGGTTTAAATAAAGACGTTGTGACAACCAAGATACTTCAACATAACTGTTTCTCCATTATTGGTGTTTTTATGGCAGTCACCGCATTCATTCTGAGTGGACCACGAATGCGTTTTTTTGAGACCTTGTTGGAGCTCTCTTTGAAATTACCTTCGGAATCATATAAGAAATTATCTAGGCTGATCCATGCCAAGGACATTCTAGGATTCTTCTTTCTAGTCGTGCTATTGCTGATGTGTATAATCACAGTGCCGTATAGTGTCTGGCGCCAGATTCTTATATCGTACATTCACTTGCTGATGTTTCAGATGGATATGCTATATATGAATTGTGTTTGCATATTAAAAGCTTGTTTCAAGCAAATCAACGACAATCTGGTGAATCTGCGAAAAGTCATGACGAATGGTGAGCCATATCTCTTGAGCGGCACCAATCACGGGCAAAGAATTCCATTTCTACTGATGGAGATTATAGCTTTGAAAAAGCAGCATCTGGCAATCAGCGACGCAGTATACATGCTAAAAATGGTCTTCAGTTTGCATCTTCTTTCCACGATACTTATGATTTTCACTCAAATCATCTTCAATCTGTACTTTTACTTAATGCAAATACAGCTGGGCGGTCAGGGTTTACATATGAGCCATCTGAGCAATGAAGAACGCCAGCTTTATCTTAAGGCCTGTATTACAGCTGTAGCAATATACTTTGTAGAATTGGTGTTGATAGTGTGGGCCTGCGAAACCGGCAAGAATCAAGCCATGGAAATCAGTAGCACCGTTCACGACGTGTGCAATAGTGCCAGCAATAAGCAAATAAAATATGAGGTAAATTTTTATAAAAAATTATAACTTTAGTGGCATATTTTATATAAATCTTCACGGAAAAAAATTTAGCTAAAGGATTTGTTACTATACGGACAACTAACATTTTTTGCTGCGAGAGATAATTAATTTTGCAATTATAGCAAAACCTTTTGCTGCAATAGTAAAGTTCAGCAAAACTGTTTGCTATTGCAACAAAATGTTTTGTTATTATTGCAAAATTAATTAGCTCTCGCAGCAAAAAAATGTTAGTTGTCTCATATTTAACAAATAGATTTGCAGCAAAATCTTTTTTTTCCGTGTTTCTAATTATGCGTCGCATATACTAATACAATTTTTAATTTGATAATTTTCCAAATTTATAATTACATCTTTTAATCCTGTATTTAACCTTTTTTTGATCTGACGTTGCAGATGCGACTATTTTCCTTGCAATTATCACATTGTGAAAATACGTTCTCTGCAAAGGGGCTTACTGTGGATGCTACGCTCCTCACTGAGGTGAGCAATCACTCATTTGCTTTCATTAAATAAATGTATATTTAGCTTTATTTTATGATGTTGTTCTGTTTTAGATAGCAGGTGCCATTATCACCTATGTATTGGTCTTGATACAATTCCTGTTCATTTCGAGTTCTTGCGGCGGAAAGACTTTAAAGGATACGCTCTAGTTAGCAAAAAGATGCATTGAATCGAACACACATGACCGAACATAGAAAAGATATTTTTAATATTTTCTTTATATCCTTGTAAGTAGGATATCGTTGTGAGTAGAGTCTCTCGTGGTGCTTTATAGTTATAGAAAAACTTGCATATACTTATGTAATATAATATATACATATATACATAGAAAAAATCTTATATCACATATGTGTTAATAACCAGTTGTAAAGGGATACGTTTTGTTTATTTAAGTGAATAATCAAACTATATACGTAATAAATACATAATTGAGCATTCTATTTGGATAATCGATCAAACATTCTGTTTGAATAAAAATATAAAGTTTAAAAATGATTAGTCTTTATTAATGGAACCTTGAGATAGTTCTTGATCCATGTGGATAATATGCAGTGTATGTCTTATGCTTCGTGTATGTACGAATGATTCATATTGGTTAAGCAATTACACGTTATTTCTTTATGTTTACGTTCCAATGATGACAAGTGTCGATCGAAGAGCGCCATGGTTACTTCACTACTAACAAGTGACCCATTGAGTCCTCATAACTTGACACTCTTGCAGTTTTAAATTCAAATTCGGTATGCATAGATCGACAATGAAGAGTTCATATCGGTACACATATTTGTTGTAAAAAGAAAAACTCTAAAGCCATGCCAAGAATGAAGCTCTCTTAATCATGATCTATTTGATAATAAAGTGCATTTATAAAGTAATTAATAATCTTTAAAATTTTTAGTTCTTCAACGACACTCCACTAATTCTTTTCATTGCAGCTTGTCGTCGAAGTTACAAGGACGAGCCAATGCCAAAATGTGGAAAAGATAGCGATTGTTCCACACCACGGATTTCGTATCATTGATGTATCTCTCATTTACCTTTTGCTACATTCTTGGAATATTCCCGTATAAGATCAATGCTTCGGTTTTCGAGATTTTTAAACCACATTACATTCTTTCGACCGTCGTTATGTGTGTTTGTTTATTAAAAATTTATAAAATGCTTTTATATATATTAAACAAAAAAAATTTTGTTTTATTTAAATTAAAAACTTACCTTTTTGTTCTTGAATTTATATGGCACAATATATATTTAATTACTGTAACTCTCTCTATTTACCTATATATGAATCTAATGGGAAATAGCGAAATATCTTGATAACATTCACTCGTTCTACATGTTTCAGATGCGCAAGGTTATGAATTATATGACAAGGAAATTGTATATCATTACCTTAGTGCTTCAAGAAGGAAGTTATATTTTTATATATATATGAAACACGCAGGGATAATGATATATATATATATATATATATATATATATATATATATATATATCAAAAATAATATATCATTACCCCTGCGTGTTTTATAATAAGCAAAAAAACCACAGATATATCATAACTCACAATTTCCTGAGTCCTGTTTTGCTACACGACGTAAAAATTGTTAGTAGTTTTAAAATTAAACTCGTCCGGTGCAGATAGACTGCAAGTTTATGTCAGTTTACGCGTTAGTCGTGTGAATAGGCAAAAATCTACATTTAAAAAAGAAGTTCTTGTAAACACGTTGATGTCACAATGCATTTACGGCATAATTAATATCTCTCAGATTATCGTTCATCCTAAATACTTCGGCGAACATGTTCAATTTGTCATCGATATTCCAAGGACCGAAAGAAAAAAGAAAAGGAAAAATATGGCAGCTATTCCGCGCTCCGGATTTTGTGTCGTTGATGTATCCTTGCTTCTCGTTTTGTCGCATTCTGGGAATATTTCCATACAAGATCAACGCTTCGACCATCAGGACTTGCAAACCACGCTATATCCTATCGACCATCATTATCTGCGTTTTTTGCACTCTCGAATTCAAAATTCTTTATGACATCAATATTTTAAAAAATGTTGCATTCAAAGGCATTGGGACACCTAGATTACTTGAACGTAACTTTTTCTACATTGTTGGCGGTTTCACAGTAGTCACCACATTCATTTTGAGTGGACCACGAATGCG